CAAGGCCTGTATTTCCAGTAGTGAGAATTAAATGTGTGCCTCCATGAGAAAACTGAAACCTCTAGTGCTACATAAGCAAACTGAAACCTAGAATGGGTTCTGACTTCTATCATTGCAGTAAGTACGGGTATTTCAGGTACAGAGAGCAAGGTGTTAGCTGCAGTTAGCCGCTCCTATTTTGATTTCTGCTCTAAGTGACTGAGAGGAGTGAGGAAGAGAAGAAATGACATTTGAGATACTGTGTAGGTCTGGAGATTTATCCCCAGAAACTGATGTGCATTGTAAGGTAAATTCTGCATATCACCCGTGTGAATACTGTGTTCTAAAACCATAACTGTCAGGTTTGTTTTAGGTCGTTTTTTCTTTAAGTAGAATGTATGAGGGTTCCCTTTTCAGTATGCACATGCACATGCACTTCCTCATTCTCTATCCAGACCTGTCTTCACCATGTTTAACAATCATGCAATCCATAGTTTGACTCACTTGTGTGCCAGGACACGGCAAGAGGAGGGGTAGCCCCACTAGTGAGATCCAGAGGGAACACTTCAGTTAGAAGCCTCCTCCTGCAGCAGCAAGGTGGGATTTCTACCAGGGTGCTGACCCCAGTTCCTCCTTGGAAGTGGCATGTTATATAACAGCCTTTGGTTAGTGAATAATGGATGAAATACCTCCCTCTTATTGTTGGAGTGGAGGAGGAGCTTCCTATTTTGTTTTGTTTCTGTTCCTCTAAAGCCTGTTGGTTATTGGAAGCCTTAGTACTCCTTCCTCGGGCCTCCATTTTCTGGAGCCGCCCACCCTGCAAGTTTAGCATCTGTTGCTGCAGCTGCTGCTGCTGCTGCTGCATAATCCATTCCCCAGCAGCAGCCGTGTGACACTGACATGGCCCTTGACAGTTGTATGGCAAGATTCTCAAAACAAGCAGGGAAATTGGTCAGGGCTTTATTTATTTCACTCTGAAGTTTTCCCAAAGTTACTGAGCAGCAGAGGCACGAGAGCTGTTTAGGTCCCGATTAGGGAAGCAGCATTTCCTTGGCTTGCGTTTGAGTCACATTAGCAGAATTGTTCTTGAAACCGTAAGATCCAGAAACTTAATTTAAAACAATTATGGCAGAAATTCATGCTTTGATCTTTCTGTGCTCACTGGATGAATGGATTCAAGCCCTCCCTTCATCTGTCAACATGGACAGGCTCAGACTCCAGTTTAGAGTCCGTGGAGACTTATTCTTCCCTTGAGATGAAACATTAGGCACTTGATAGAATGTATTTTTTCTCATTCATCAGGTGGCAGAACTAGTTACAGCCCAGTTTAAAACATGCTTAAGCAAAGTTTTCCATAATGTGTTAGAAATCCTGTATAATTTATTTTTTCCCTTCTCCCTTTCAATATGAACTGGTAGCTTTTAACATTGAGCAAGTTCACGGGGGTACAGTGACATGCCAAATGTCTGTATATTGATTCTCAGTGATCTGCTACTTTAGGTGCTGATCACACTGGATCCTTTTGACATGCCACCCCCTGCTGCTGCCACATTTTTCCAAAGTCATTAAGACTGACTCCAATTCAGAAATAAAGGTTCTAGAATCCTGCCTCCAGGCAAAGTCTGTTAATTTTTCCTCCTTGTTTTGCCTAACCCATATTGGTTGGGGAGGGAGGGGAGCTTTATTGAAATACTGTACTCTTTTTCCAGCCCTCTTGGGTCTTATTCCAAAGAAATTAGATCTGGAAAAATGAGACTTGTTGGGTCATCTGGTCCATCCCCTAGCCATGTGAGGATTGTTGGCCAATTGCTTCCTTTAGGAATCTTTTAAAAGCCTGTCAGTGACTGGCAAGCATCTGTATTTGATTTCCATTGTGCTGGTAGAGGGATATAGCCAACTTCCTCTGAGCCCATTAAGAAATTGCAGTACAGGGGTCATGCATGTGTTGTTTTACAGGATTGGAGTTAGCAGCACCAGGCTAAAATTTTGTAATTAAGTGAAGAAAAGTTAACTTAGGTTTTTCTAATGAACCCTAAAAAGATCTGCATTTTTAGGGGTTACAGGGACATCTTTCGCTTACAGCAATATTTATTACATGAGACCTTTGAAGCAGGGCTTGCTCCAGATGTGAGAAATTTCTTCGACCATGGGACTCTGTTCCGGGCACAAGGATTGTTAGGAAAAGATGGGATCCACCTAACCAAGAGAGGAAGGAGCATCTTCGCGGGCAGGCTTGCAAACCTAGTGAGGAGGGCTTTAAACTAGGTTTGTCGGGGGACGGTGACCAAAACCCTGAGGGGAGAGGGAAAGTCGGATACTGGGGAGAAATGCAAAGAGGCACAGGCAACAAAGGGAGGACCCCGATTCGAATGGAGAATATAGGGCGATCAACTGGTTATCTGAGGTGTTTGTACACTAATGCGAGAAGCCTGGGCAACAAACAGGAAGAACTGGAGGCCCTGGCCCAGTCCAAGAAATATGATTTAATTGGGATAACAGAGACTTGGTGGGATGACTCGTATGACTGGAGCGCTGTCATGGAAGGGTATAGACTGTTCAGGAAGGACAGGCAGGGGAGAAAAGGAGGAGGAGTTGCACGATGTAAGAGAGCACTATGATTGCTCTGAACTCCAGTATAAAGAGGGAGAAAAACCTGTTGAGCGTCTATGGTTTAAGTTTAAAGGAGCAAACAGCAGCAGAGATGTTGTGATTGGTGTCTGCTACAGGCCTCCGAATCAGGTGGATGAGGTAGAGGAGGCTTTCTTCGGACAACTGAGAGAAGCTTCCAAATCGCAGGCCCTGGTTCTCGTAGGAGACTTTAATCACTCTGACATCTGTTGGGAAACCAATACGGCAGTACACAGGCAATCCAGGAAGTTTTTGGAGAATGTTGGGGATAACTTCTTGGTACAAGTGCTGAAGGATCCAAGTAGGGGCTGTGTGCAGCTTGACCTTCTACTCACAAACAGGGAGGAACTAATAGGGGAAGTAGAGGTGGGTGACAACCTGGGAAGCAGTGATCATGAGATGGTAGATTTCAGGATCCTGACCAAAGGAAGAAAAGAGAGTAGTAAAATACACACTTTGGACTTCAAAAAAGCAGATTTTGACTCCCTCAGAGATCTGATGGGCAGAATCCCCTGGGATGCTAACATGAAGGGGAAAGGAGTCCAGGACAGCTGGCAGTATTTTAAAGAAGCCTTATTGAAGGCACAGAAAGAAACCATCCCGATGCGTAGCAAGAGAGGCAAACATGGTAGGAGACCGGATTGGCTTACAGGGGAAATCCTTGGTGTACTTAAGCACAAAAAGGAAGCTTACAAAGAGTGGAAACTTGGACAAATGACCAGGGAGGAGTTTAAAGGTATAGCTCGAGAATGCCGGGGGGTTATCAGGAAGGCAAAAGCGCAAATGGAATTGTGACTGGCTAAGGATGTGAAGGATAACAAGAAAGGTTTCTACAGGCAGGGTTCTACAGGCATGTTAACAAGAAGAAGGTGCTCAGAGAGGGTATGTGGCCCCTACTGGATGAAGGAGGTAACCTAGTGACAGATGATGTGGGGAAAGCTGAAGTACTCAATGCTTTCTTTGCCTCTGTATTCATGCACAAAGTGGGCTCCCAGACTAATGCGCTAAGTAACGCAAGATGGGATGAAGATGGACAGCCCTTGGTGGGTAAAAAACAGGTTAGCAACTATTTAGTTGGAAGAGAGGAAAGTGATTAGGAATAGGCAGCATGGATTCACAAAGGGGAAGTCATGCCTGACCAATCTGATTAGCTTCTATAATGAGGTAACTGGTTCTGTGGACATGGGAAAGTCAGTGGATGTAATATACCTTGACTTTAGCAAGGCTTTTGATACAGTCTCCCACAATAATCTTGCCAGCAAGTTAAGGGAATGTAGATTGGATAAATGGACAGTAAGATGGATAGAAAGCTGGCTAAAAGGCCAGGCCCAGCAGGTAGTGACCAACGGTTCGACGTCAGGATGGCGGTCGGTTTCTAGCGGAGTGCCCCAAGGTTCGGTTCTAGGACTGATTTTGTTCAATATCTTTATTAATGACCTGGATGAGGCGATGGATTGCACCCTCAGCAAGTCTGTGGATGACACTAAGCTAGGGGGAGAGGTAGTTACGCTTGAGGGCAGAGATAGTATCCAGAGTAACTTAGACAAATTGGAGGATTGGGCCACAAGAAATCTGATGAGGTTCAACAAGGACAAGTGCAGAGTTCTGCACTTGGGACGGAAGAATCCCAAGCATTGTTACAGGCTGGGGACCAACCAGCTAAGTAGTAGTTCTGCAGAAAAGGACCTGGGGGTTACAGTGGATGAGAAGCTGGATATGAGTCAACAGTGTGCCCTTGTAGCCAAGAAGGCTAATGGCATATTAGGTTGCATTAGGAGGAGCATTGCCAGCAGATCCAGAGATGTCATTATTCCCCTTTATTCGGCTTTGGTGAGGCCACATCTGGAGTACTGTGTCCAGTTCTGGGCCCCCCACTACAAAAAGGATGCGGACGCATTGGAGAGGGTCCAGCGGAGGGCAACCAAAATGATTAGGGGTCTGGAGCATATGACCTATGAGGAGAGGCTGAGGGACTTGGGTCTGTTTAGTCTGCAGAAGCGAAGAGTGAGGGGGGATTTGATAGCAGCCTTCAACTTCCTGAAGGGAGGTTCCAAAGAGGATGGAGAAAGGCTGTTCTCAGTAGTGACAGATGGCAGAACAAGGAACAATGGTCTCAAGTTGTGGTGGGAGAGGTCCAGGTTGGATAGTAGGAAAAACTATTTCACTAGGAGGGCTCCTGGAATGGGTTCCCTAGGGGAGTAGTGGAGTCTCCATCTCTAGAGGTGTTTGTCTCGGCTTGACAAAGCCCTGGCTGAGTTGATTTAGTTGGGATTGGTCCTGCCTAGAGCAGGGGGCTGGACTTGACCTTCTGAGGTCTCTTCCAGCTCTGATTCTATGCAATGGGAATGAGACATCTAAATTGCTTAATTTTTCATCTCCAACTCTTTTACCAGTGGTGACCTAAATGAAGACACCCTTGAGACAGAAAATGCAGCAGCTGCTGCCGCTGCTGCCTTCACGGCTTCCACACATCTGAAAGAAGCTGTCTTAGGTAGGTTCGGTGTACTGCATTGGCCTTTATTGCAACCTTTCTCATACCAACTTTGCAGCCTCGGCAGTCCTGCTCCTTGGGGGTTTGTGTGCTGCAGATCTGCCTGGCTCAGCTGCCTGGGAGTACACCCTACTGCCAGCGAGAGTCCAAGAGCCTCCTTCCAGAGCAGGCAGGCTGTTTCACACATTTCCTGCAGGCATCACTGTAGCTGTCATGTACTCAAGGAAACAGAACAGTAGAGTCACAATTCTGCCTCTTAACTACATGTGACAAGGAGGAGTGGGTGTATGTTTTATAATACTCTGCTGCCCTCTTTTGCTTTAAAGTGGGATTGCTTGAGTTTATTCCCCATTAAATCTGCAACGATGGCTTTTTCTACACTGCCCCCTCTAGTGCAAAAATATGCAAATGAGGCAAAGCATGGAATATCGCCATGCCTCATTTGCATCATTAATGAGACTCTGTTTTTGCGTGTGGAATATCACTGCACCTCATTTGCATAATTAATTAGGCTTTATTTTTGCGCAAAACCCCCCTCTTGCACAAGAGCTGTTCTTTTTTCCCCCCAGGAAGAACAGCTCTTGCTCAAGAGGGAGGGTTTGCACAAAAACAGGGCCTAATTAATTATGCAAATGAGGCATAGCGATAGTCCACGCTTTGCCTCATTTGCATATTTTTTGTGCAAGAGTGGGGAGTGTAGATATACCTGATGTGTTTTGGCCGTAGTTCAGCCATGGGATCAGATTTTCTATTTACAAGTAAAGGGACCATGGTACACAGAGTGCATGCCTGTGACTGAATTCATGCCTCAAAATTGTAACTCTCTCTGCCAATTGGGATGCAGTGTCATTAATGAGTTTAGTTCGGAAAGTCTCTCTGGGGTTTGCCATCCCCTTCATTATTTAGATTAAGTTTAATGAACTTATTCTAGTAATAAAAATAGTGACTCCCTGATCCCTGTAATAAAGCATTGATGCTCAGGCTTGGACACTGATGCTCTTGGGATGTTCCTGTGCTTCTTGTTGCAGTGGCTTCACTCCAGTGCAGGCAGGTAGGAGATACTCATCGACTGGGCTTGCAAGGGTTTAATTTTGCAGAAGACAGGGTTACCTGCTTATAAGCCCTCCTTTGGGCACTGTGGAATACCCACCTACCTTTAAAATAGACAGTTACACCTTAATAATGTGTGTGGCTATATCATCTGTCTCAAATTTTTCTTCATTCACATAAAGAATCAAATGTTCAGTCACAGACACTGACTTTTATGGGCCTTCGAAAATAGGCGTGCACTCATTTTGCCTGAGATCAGCTGGTTGCTTGGTATTGAAGGCTGGCTAAAAATTTGTCTGAAAAGTCTAATTTTCCTGCGTGGCTTCTCTTTTTGTACCCTGGCTTCTCTTTTTACCACTCTGTCCCAAAATGCCTTTAACCTTTGATGATAATCAGTAGTTGTAACTTATTTTCTTTTTGACCCTCCCCAAACCCTGCCCCTCGTTCCCTGTGAGAAGTGAAGATGGCTGAAGAGGAGGACAGCTTGGAAGCTGAGATTGTTTACCCTATCACCTGCGGAGATAGTAAAGCCAACCTGATATGGAGAAAGTTCGTATGCCCTGGCATTAATGTGAAATGTGTCCAGGTGAGGCTACAGAGTCCTCTGAAAGTCCATAAGGAAGGACCACACCTGTGTGTGTTTAGGTTGACCTCCTTGCCCAGAAAGGAGATTAAACACCACAGATGCTAATGAAATCCAACATTCCAGTTACCATTGCTATGAATCTGTCTGGTGCATGCTACCTGTTTGCTGAACACCACTCATATGCGGGTTCTAGTTGTGTGAGGAAGCAGGGCTCTGTTAGAATTGTGTTGCGATCTCCTTTCTCCTTGAAAGAAGGAAGACACTATTTTGCGTACCATTTGTTGTCCATTATGTGTCTTCAGAGCTTCAGAGGAAAACTGAGCAGCTCTGTCTGGCACTTCAACTTCAGTCTGGCTCTGCCTTTGAGCAGTTTTCTAAAATGTAGACACTCCCTTTATCATTATTAGTTTAAGGGAAATTGATACAGTGATGCAAACCTTCTTGGTAATGATGGCATTGACCTGTTTCCACTCTTTTCACTAAGGTGACTGGAGGGTGAAAAAACTCTTCATGAGTGGTAGAGTAGGGGGCACTTTTAATTCCCAGAACACATTTCATGGTAACACAGGCATCAAGGGTAAACAATAATCTGTTCCTTAAGTAAAGTGTGCTTTCAGGCCATGCTGCCAGAGGGTATTTGACGAGATGGCTTTCTCCCCCTCCTCTTGGAAAGATGGATCTTTCCATGTCTCTTTCTCTTTCTCTCGAAGGCAAACAGTAGAGACTGGAACAGATCAGTTGTGCCTGCTACCACCAGATATCAGCTTCTTCATTGTACTTGACTCTGGTTCCTGTTATAAGGAAATGTTCGTGTCATACAGCAGTTGGGAATATCAGATGTACTTGTTAGCATAGGAGGGAATGAAATGGGACCTAGGGGTAGCAAATCCATATTTTTCAAATTCCCCATAGAAGCTTTATTAAAGGACAACTGTAGAGCTTAGAAGATGGATAATGGGGTACAAAATCCTATGTCACCCATTCGAACCACCTGTAATGAGGGGAAAATGTCGGGTTCGCATGGCTATTCAATAGGAAATAAGCTGGTTGTCTGTCTAGTTTCCAGTGGGACAAATGTCCACATCATACAAGTGACTGCTGCAGTTGCCATTAATTATCCTTGTTGATGAACTCTGCAGAGGCCAAAGAATGAGTGGCCAAGAGGCTGGATCTTTGCAACTCTTCTGGTCAAGTCATAGTTGGAGCACTTGGAGGGGTTGACCACAGGGCAATGTGCTGCTCAGAAAACTGGATACCAACTGGTGGTTGGGAACAATTTGTTTTTGTCACTAATCTGCTTGATAGTGAGAGCAGATGAGAGCTAAATAAAACAGTGGTGGTATGGAGCAGCACACTATAATGCTAGGTATATTTTGCACAAATCACATTAAAAGGGTCTTGTATGACCTTCCTGTCTGATGCTTTGTGGTACATACAGCGCTAGAAGAATTTGTAACCAATTTCTGCTAAAGTTCAGGCTCTTTGCTTCTCTTACGATCTATTTTAGTGTAAACACAATATCCTAGTGAGTGATTTTCACTAGAGAGGGACCTAACCCACAAGTCCAATCACACTTCTCCAAAATTTGGAGGGTTTCAGATCAGGAGTTTTGGTAGGAGCCCAGCTTTGGTTTTAACAATACTGTTAAAACTTCGTCATCAGGGTTGTTCCACTCTGTCACTGGGTAGAGTGCTAGATATAGTGTATGCATCCTGGCATAACCTATGCCTGTCCTTACGTGGAACCAGTCTGCATTTCCTGCTGCATTATACCATGTTGTATTTCTCCCCTTTGCAGTACGATGACCATTTAATTAGTCCCAAAGAGTTTGTCCACTTGGCTGGCAAGTCAACCTTGAAGGACTGGAAACGAGCAATCCGGATGAATGGGATCATGCTCAGGTTAGTGCCTTTGTTTGCTTGTATGTGTCATGGATGGGCTTGGTTTCTTCTTTCTGGAAGAATCCAGGAGGATATTCTATATGCTCTGATACAGCTGTTGAGCAACTGAGTATGTGCCCTGAATACAGTGAAAATTTGTCCCAATACCTGTCCATCCATCTAGTGATCCGTTTTCTATAAGCGTTTTCTTTGTTGCAGGTAGGCAGAGGTGGTTAAGAAATTAGGGACTGTCACTTACCTGTTATAGTCTCAGGGCCACCATGTGATCTGCAGCTGCTTCTAGGGTAGTGCATGGCAGTTGTTTAACAACCACACGACAATAGCACTTAACAGTTTTAGAACAGGAAGTGAAGAAAATACACTATCCAGTTGGAAATTGTCACGTGGTTCGATTTATTTTAGCTCCTAGGGAAATCAGGACACTCCAGGGCTACTTAACCACGTTCTTGTTTATTGCAAGCTTTAAGCAATTAATACAGTTGTTTAAGTTTTACAAGCCTTAAAAACAATTACTATACAATTGAAACCTTAAATACTATAAATTCTAAAGCAATCAATAGAAGATCTACTGTAATACAATAATAAAGCTTAATTCACTTACACTTCACCCGTATGCTACCTACAGTACCAGGCAGGAGGTCATGGCTCTTTCTTCCCACACAATGGAACGCCATGCACTGGGTCACTGGTGTGAAGGGCATGTTTACTTCTAGTTACATCGAGCAGGACCTGTGTGTCAATCCTGCCCATTCCCTCCCTCCATTGTTCTTACTAAGCCCATTTTATAGCAAAACAAGACTTGGTGGTTCTAATAATATTTACCAATTGATTACATATTGTGTAGGATACGTAAAATGCCCAGTACCCCATTTGGAGTACAACCTGTCACTCGGGATGTTGCCGCTATACGCGTAGTTGACAGTTTCATGGCTGCATCTGTAATTTTTTGCTTATCAGAAACAGACGTACCAGTACAAGGTTGCTCGTCCTGTGGTCTCGCTGTACCATGCTTAATCTGCATTGTTATTCAAAACATTCCTTCCTCTCGGGCCTTGCCTGCATGCTTATGTGCACCAGACTTGAGTCAGGCCTGGGTTTGCTTTTAGGCAGACATTGGTATTTATTGCCAAGGCAGGGTAGTGCAGGCTCCTCCACAGAAATGCAGGGGACATTTGGAAAGGCAAAACATTAGCTTCTTATCTGGACCTTGACAAGAATGAAAACCACATCTCCTCTCGCAAATAGTGTCGTGAGATCTTAATCACCCACAAGTTACCAGGCCGGGCTATTTACATCTCTTCTGAAAGGCAGAACTTGGGAGCGCTCTGTGGCCCCAACTGCCCTTCCAGAGCATCGCTTCATTGCTGACCGGGAGAAAGTTCCACCTGCTGAAGCCGCACTCCCTGCAGTACGAGATTGATCTGTCCGTACGTGGACACGCCCTCTGCTGTGTTATGTCTGTTTTTTCTTCCCCAAAATCCTTACGTGTACCTTCCTCTTCTCTGACTTGGACTACAGGAATTCCTTTTATGATCTCCCAGACCACAAGCTTTCAACGTCTGTCTGACCGAAGTCCACTTGTTTCTTCATCTGTAGCCAGAAACAAAAAAGAAATCCTTTCCTATCTTGGAACCGTCATGGGCTCCACAGTCTTTTCATAGCAACACTGTCCCACCCACTCAGCTCCGGCAGTAACACAAACTGCTCTCATAATATGGTTAATCAGCTTTTACCCCTGGGTTCGCTGCAACTCCATACACCCGTGTTTTGGCCAGGCAGATCTTCGGAGGAACAAAACCTGTTTTACAAAAGATGTGGGAGGGCCAGCCTAGTAGCCTAGAAGCAACAGCCATTCAAGATGTTGTCTCTAGTCAGCAGAGGTTGTGTGTACTGTAGAGGCAGCGTGTTTAGTCCCTGTGGGTGGAGAGACCATCTGTGCCACTGTGGCAATGTCCTTTAGTTGAGTCGAGATGCCTTATTTCAAAAGGAGCTGCAGGCAGCCTTTTTTACACCCAGGGAGGATCTCCAGGATGTGGGGTAGATGGAGGGAGTACAAAGGGGAAACCAGCTTTCTGCTATTTCATGGTTAGTTTGAGCTTCTCTCTGTGCCATTCTCCAGAGAGGTTCTGTGATGACAGGTCGGATCAGAGTAAGACCTGACCTTGTCCTTCTCCTGCTCCTCCTCCTGTTTGATAACTCAGCCTGAAGTTTGTCAAAACAGCCCATTGTGACTTGATTTCCATTTCCTCTCCTTCCCTTAGCTGAGCATATTATCTGCTAAATAACCCATCCACAGAGCAGTCAGGCAGTAGTCAGAGAACTCTGTATGCTTGACCCTGGTTCTCCATAAATCTCAGACTTATTTCCCCAGCAAGATTCTCTTTTTGATCTTCCTAGGTATTTTCAGCCTTTCAGTGTTGTTTACAGCCGTCTGTTCCTGTAAGAGCTCATGCTGCATCCTGTTTCTTTTGGCCTCGATTAGAACTGCTTAGGTATATTTAGACCTCCTGCTTGAGGCATATTTACATTCTTTGAGCTATGGGAATTTGTCCTCTCTGCTATCTGCCAGATTTGGAGAGGAGTCGCTACTGCATGATGATCAGTGAGGAAATCCTGTTCCAAGGGCCTGACTTGGAGTGGGTTTCAGCCTGGCCTCTCATCTGTGTGCACATACTCATAGATTCTGTCAGTGTGCTTGCAGAATTTTCACACACCTAATCAATCACCAGCAGAAGCAGGTGTGCACTAAGGTGTATGTGCCGTTTGGAATTCAAATCTGCTGCTGCTTCCTCGAACCTTATTCTACTTGGATAATAGCCACTTCCTGATTTTAATAACCTGCTGTCACACTTGCTTTCATGGGTTTTCCTTTCATATACATTACTGTGCTCATTCCACAAGGTGCTTTCTGTTAGGCAGTATGGGAGCCTTAAAATTAAATCTGTTTTTATCTACCTTGCAGGCTCCCTAGGTCCTGCCTTCACTTCGCTTCGCTTCGCCAATGTAGCCATCTGCACTGAAGGACTGAATGAAAGAAACTGCAGCATAGTGCCCTTCACCCTGAAGAGTCCATGTTTCCCTTCTTCATCTTTAGTGCTTTGTAACTTTTTCCTTGTAGAGCAGACAGAGTATCTGGGGCAAACACTTGGCCACACAGCGCTCCTCACCCATTCCATTTCTCACAAAAGGCCTGCTTGGACAGGCTAGTCAATGGCTTCTCCATCCAAACATTTGTACATTAAGGCCCCATCTACACAGGCCTTTCAGCAGTCTTGTGTTCATCACAGTTCAGACCCATTTGTGGTCAAACCAGCTTCTAATGTGCCTTGCTCAGCCTGTAGGTTCAAACCATGTTCAGAAACCACACTCCTAGGTCTCTGTCTTGGCTCGAATGTGGATATTCTGGCTCAGTTTTGCCCTGTTCACAATGTATTAGCACGTTACTCACCTCCAGTGAGTGGTATAGTTAACTCACATGTAAGGGCTGTATAGAAGGGGATTAAATGCTTGTCTTGTTGATATTTCCCCCCTCTTTACCTATCAAAGTACACGTTTCTCTCACTCACACTTTCATTTATGGACCACTGATTTGGTTAATTTAATGTTCCCTCCAGAATCGGATAATAGGGAGAAAAGAGAAGCAACTCGCTCTTGGCCCATCACCTCTGCCAGCCCCTCTGATCTTTAGGGGATGGGAACTAAAAGTGTGAGGCTGCAGCAGCACCCACGAAGCTGATTGGAATAGTCTTAAATGTAAGGGGAAAGAAGGGCAGGAAGCTAAAGTGCAGAATTGATTCGTGCAGGGTTTGGAGAGGTTTGAAATGCAGATAAATCCTGCAGCACAGGAGCTGTTTTCCAGCGCTCTGCCTCACTGTGTCTGTGCCAGACTGATACACGCGTGTCCTCATGCTTGTTCTTTGTGCTGCAGGAAGATCATGGACTCTGGAGAGTTGGATTTCTACCAGCATACCAAGGTCTGCTCAAACACCTGCCGAAGCACTAAAATTGACCTGACCGGAGCGAGAGTGTCTTTAACCAGCCAGACGTCAACAGAGTATATTCCTCTCACTCCTGCCTCTGCAGATGGTATGTCTAGTGTTTTCCACAGCCCTCACTACTGGGGCTCTTCAGAATCAGAGTTTAATTACTATTTCCCTTTGCTACTTTTTCCTCCTTCACTTCTTCCCTCCCGCTGTTGCTAGGTCTCATGTTGGAGCTCTGCAGAAGCATCCATTGTAACGCCGCATGGCAGAGCAGTCGCTGGCAGGAAGGAAGGCTCTTTGGTGTTCTGTAAAAAGAATGTTCATTCTAAAGCAGGGGTCTTAAACTCACGGCTTGGGGGCCATCTGCAGCCTGAGCAGTTCCACAATCTGGCCTGCGCATGGCTGCTAGCAGCTGAGTCCCTGCAGCCCTCGGGCAGGTGTCCATCCCCTTCCTCCAAGTCCAGCCCCTGCTCCGTCCCTAACCTCTCTCTTCCTGCCCATGCTCTGCCCTGTCCCTGATCACACTTCTTCCCTCCAGTCCCCTCCCCTGAGGGATGCAGCCTTGGGAATTACTGGGGGGACCTGGCGCAAGGTAGCAGCAGAGGCTGGGCCCACAGCGATGAGAGCTGCGGGGAAGCGGAGTGACACGGCAGCCTCCGCTGCCTTCTCCCAGGCTGACCAATTCGCTCCACTTCACCATGGCTGTGGAAAGCAAAGCGCCCCAGCCCCAGTTTGTGCTAGCTTGGGAGATGGTGGCAGAGCCGCATTGCTCCACTTCCCTGCAGCTCCCACTGCCACTGTGGGTGTGGGGGGCCTGACTCCTGCTGCCAGCCCCAGCCTGCCAGGGCCCCGCAAGTCAACTTGAGAACCGAGGAGCGGGGTATGCACAGGATGGCCACCCCAGACCTTCCTATGAACAAGATGGCTCTGCACACGCCTCTCTCAGGCCACAAAGGACGTGCCGGTAGCGGCCAGAAGCTGCTTTAGCCCTGCTGTGCTACCCATGGTTGCACTGTGGGCCCTGGAGAGTAGGCACCCTTGGGGTGGCGAGCAGATTCAGAAGAAATAAGGGGGGTATGCATGGAGACCTCTGACCCTCCCTGCCAGAGGGGAGAGCCCATTGGCCCACTAGGAGGATTTGAGGACTGTCCCTGTCCCCGAGAGAGTGATTTTGAGACCCCTGTTCTAAAGTTACTCATACTGCATCCTGGCTTACTAAGAGTGCAGAGCCAAAGTAGCTGCCTCCAGATAACCTGCAGGAATGTAGCAGTCCTCATGTGATTTGGTCATCCTTCTGTGCCAGCATCTGATTAGCTGCCCTCACGGTTCAAAGGTGACACCTGATTTCCTGCAGAATAATTTACATATTTTCATTTAAGGCTCCGTTTCTGAATTATTACTTTTGTCTGATGACCGATTAAAGAAAGCCACAGATTGCTACAAATTTCTGTCAGATCTCATGTAAATGTTACAGAAGTGAATTTAAAAAAGACATTGGTTTAGAGCTTAAGATCTAGATTTGATTTACCATAAGTAGGGAATATTCTGTAGAAATGTGCTCTTATTTCTAAATACTTCATATTTGCTAATTCTTTTGCCCCTGCAAACTTACAAAATAAAAAAAATCTGATAACCAAAGACTGTGGAGGAGAAAAGCAAAAATTGTTTTTGCATCCCTGTGTTGGCTCTGCCCAGAACATTTTACAATTGATCCTCATGCTTTGGGCTAGGACTTATGGGTGCTGTACCGGTTTAACCCATGGTTTCTTTCAGTAGTAGTACCACCTGACAGCATGGCTCTAACCCTTGTTGCTGTGAGCAATTCTGTTCAGATAGTCTATGATGTTAACATGCAAACCAGGATGTTCTCACACTGTTGGTGTCAGGCTGAATTTGGCACGAATGGGAAAACCCAGATTTGCAGCGTGGAAGGAACAAACTCCCCAGAGAATTAAGTGAAAGCTACAGAGTGTTACAAACTGTGCTTCTCTTTCAGGAGAGCATGATCACTGGAGCTCTGGCCCAGATTTTGAGTTATACAGCTCCTGCATGCAGTTTGACATCCTCCTGGCAACTCAACTGACATGTGACTCCTTTGTCCCTATAGTAACAATACCATAGAGATTAGAAAGGGCTGTGGAGAGCAGAGATCATATGAGTGGCTGGCCGGAGTTACGATCACAGTCAGATGCTGGAAGCAGCAAGGGTAGAATAGTATCCCAAAGTGTATTATCTGTAGCACCGAGGGAACCTGTTCAGTCTTCAGGCCTGTCAACATGCCGGTCAGAGGCAGTCTGATATGAATTTTGTGCCTCTTTCATGTCCTATAGATTGGCAACAAACCAGGTAATTGCCCTGAACACTTACCAGACCAGATACAAACTCTACTTGCCAGCCCTCGTTTATAATAATAATAGAAAAATTCATGTAATAAAAATTAATCTCCCTGAAGCAAATAGAATTTGCAAGAGCTACGTAAATAGTGACTTGTGTATTGCCCAGCTGCGTGGAAAGGGAAGCAAAGCTCACACTATGGCCAGATGTGACTTTTTATTTCCCACTGCAGAGTCTGTTTATTCGGCTTTCCGCTGGAGGAGACGTGTACTGCACAGGCTTGCCTGTAATCCTGAGTGGGTGTATAATGCAGGGACAACCAGACGCTATGTGGCAAGACAATAGAAAAGCCATGACTTATTGTGTTTACTTTTCCTTTTCAATCTTGGTTGCAGTAAATGGCTCTCCTGCTACAATCACCATAGAAACTTGTGAGGAAGCCAGCGATTGGACCACTAGCATTGGAGGTACAGTTAGGAAAACCACAAGACATGATGCTGTCAATGTCTCCTGTCATACTCCATGTGGGCTACCTGTGTTTGACAGGGATATAGGGGGAGAAGGAAAAAAAAAGTTAGGGTGAGTAGGAAAACAGTTTCTGCCTGTAGGTGTTCCCATATTCAGCTGCCTGATCTTCATGGTATTTATTTGCCATAGCTTTAGATCTTTGTGTAGAGGACTAAGTCCTTTGTGTTTGCAGTGTGGCCACAAAGCATCTTCTTGGCGTGAAATTGCTCCCAAGTGTCAGAATACCCAAATTCTGGCCAGTGCCATCAGCGGGACCTGAGTGTGAGTCCCACGCTTTCTCCCATGCTTCTCTGATTCAGTGGAATTAGGGAGCGTCATGGAGGATGACATCTGACCCCCAATTGGTTTAGGGATTTGTGGTGCTAAATCCAGTTGCCAGTGCTGAATTGTGGCAGAGGAGTGAGAGAGACTCCTGGGGGAGCTCTACCTCAGCTCTGGCTCGGGGTTCAAAGTGACTCAGAGGGCTCTTCCACAACTTCTCTGCCCTCTTGGGCAGGATCAGTTCTGTCTGATATGGGGAATGGGAAGACTATAAAAGGAATGTGTGTTTTTCCTTTAAAGCTATGGTGGTGAAACACTGGAATGGGCTCCCTAGAGAGGGGGTAGACTCTCCATCTCTAGAAGTTTAAGTCCTGGCTTGACAAAGTCGTGCTGGGATGGTCCAGCTTTGGGCAGGGGGTTTGACTTGATGACTCCTGAGGTCTCGGCCAGCCCTAGGATTCTACGATTCTGTGCAAACGACTTAGCTTCTCCCCCATTGCCTCAGGATACCTGTTCTTGCTGGGTTTTGCCCCATTCCCGTTTGCCTAGAGACCAGAATGGCTTCTGCCTCTATCGCCACCACAGCCAAGTTTAGGGTGAGCCCCTGCCTTTCGATAGGCTTGCTGGATGTGCGCCCCTTTTACATCACAATAAGACATGGTGCTGTATCAGTCACTCAGCCCCCCAATGCCTTTTTCTGGTGCTCTGAGATTCGCTTGTGCTTGCTGCTCCCCCAGATGACACGTTTACATTCTGGAGAGGTCTGAAGGATGCAGGGCTGCTGGATGAAGTGATCGAAGAGTTTCATCAGGAGCTTATGGAGACCATGAAGGGCTTACAGCAGCGGGTCCAGGATCCTCCCCTACAGCTCAGCGGTAAGAGCCTGATTTCAGGAGCTAATAAACAGAATCTTTGTGTCTTCTTTGTTGTTGTTGTTTATTAAATGGCGGAAAACCTTTGTAAATGCAGAGTTAAGGCTTCCAGGTAATAGTTCACTCCCTCTCAGGACATTGAGTTCAGCAAAACGTCGTCTTCTGAAAACCAAGTTAAGGTAAACACACTCACAGCCTTAACTCTGCCCAATTTGAGTATGGCCCCCACAATACCTATAATACATTTCTTCTCTGCCTTGTTGTCGTAGTGGACAGGTGCTGTCTGCACTGAAGTACTCCTACAAAGTACTGCATTTGTCAAATTTGAGAGCTACTTCTGACCTTTTTACAGCCCTGCACACACTCATATGGTCTGCCATGTAAACCTATATTTTCCCCTGCCCATTAAATCCATACATCCCCCCCTTGCTGCTGACACCCGAGGTGATTCTGCACTGACATGTGCCCCTCTTTCCTTTGATATCATGCCTGGGGGAAACTCTGAGCAAGATCTCCTCCTATCACAATCACAGCTCTTCTAAGCTGTTCCAACTTATTCCTCCACTATTCAGTACAGTTACTGACACAGGGACTCCAGCTGGAGTGCATGGAGATCATTCCTAGTGGTTCTTGCCAGCCCCAGGGAGGCAGAACTGAGGTTGCATAGGGGTTACCATTACTTTAAGCATCAGAGAAGACCAGTGCATCTCTCCTTCTCTAAACCCTGCCTCAAAATGTTGCCTTCTCCCCGATGCCCTTTCCCATCCCATTACGCCATTATTCGGCAATGTAGTTTAACCATTACCATATATGTAAGTAGCTTCTTGCTGACTCCTGCCCTGTGCTGCTGTGTACACACATAACACGAATCAGCTTGTTGGAATACTTCCTGCTGCCTTAGTTATGTAGCCCGAGCTGTACGCTGAGCTGGTTCCGGTCCCACTCCCACTACACCCCACTGTTTGATTCTTTGCCCTGCCGTTTGAGAGCTGGGATTCCTCGCCCCACCATTTGAGAGCTGCTGCTTTAGTATGTTCGTGTTTTACAAAGAAAAAGGTAAATTCTTTCTGTAGGGAATGATTCTCTCCTCTGTGAGCTGTATCCATTTTTCTGTTTTCAAGACGCTGTTTTGCTCAACAACATAGTTCAGAACTTTGGCATGCTGGACCTGGTGAAGAAAGTTCTAGCGAGCCACAAGTGCCAGATGGATCGCTCAAGAGAACAATACACACGGGATCTCGCAGGTAAGCCGAAATGGAATTTCAGTGTCTCTTCTGTTGGAATCGTCAGAGGTGTTTTGTGTGTAGAACAGTAGGGGTTTTTTTGTTTTTGCTAAGCCAATGCTTGGAATGATTGTTCAGTTTAGATTGGAACGATGCCCAAGAATCCGCTAACTTGCCTTGCTTATTGTACTTTCAGTTGTTATGCAGTAAAAACTAGGCCGCTGGGAAGCTTATGCTAGGTGGAAGTTGGCGAGTACTGTACTAACAATTATTACGGCCTCTTCCTTTTAGCGTTGGAACAGCAGTGTGACGAGCACCGCAAGCGCGCAAAGGAGCTGAAGCACAAATCGCAGCACCTCAACAATGTGTTGATGACGCTGACTCCAGTCTCCATCCCAGCACCTTTAAAACGCCCCAGACTTACCAGGGCCACATCTGGGCCAGCTGCTATCACCTCTCAAGTCCTGGCCCAGTCAGCACAAATTGCCTTGGCCCCAGGAGTGCCTGTTTCTCAGCTTGCCAACCTCCCTCTCAGCAAAATGGTGTCTGCTCTTCCAGCCTCGGTGCTTGGGAAAAGTACGTCCTCGGCTTCCTCAGCCAGCTCCCCGACCTCCCCGTTATTGGGGGGATACACTGTACTGGCCTCCTCAGGCTCTAGTTTCCCCAACACCGTTGAGATCCATCCCGACGCTTCCAACTTGACAGTCCTCAGCACAGCGGCCATACAAGATGGCAGCACTGTGGTGAAAGTGGTGAGCCCTTTCCAACTGCTCACTCTCCCGGGACTGGGCGCCACCATACAGAACGTAACACAAATGGCTCCCAGCGGGAGCACAATTGTGACGGTGCCGTCTAGTGCTGTCGAGGGCGCCACAGTGTCAGACGAACACACCACCACAATCGAGGTGACAACAGTGGCAGAAGAGCCAGAACAGAAATGAAAAGGGGACTTGCCTGGAGGGACTTTCTTTTGTGACGTACTCTGGCTTGAACTGCCTTTTTTCTGCCTGTGCTGGGGGAAGAGGAAACAGTGTAAAGAGGGCACAGGGAATGGAGACTGAGAGAGATTGGCTAAAAGGAGTAGAATAAGGTTTGAGCCAAAGAAAGGGAAAAGAGAGACCATCAGAAAAAGCGTGGGGGGAGGGGAATGAATCACACTGGCCCATTAACCAGTTTACATATAAAGCTTTCCTCCCGTGTTTTCCTGGAATACATGTTATCTCCATGTCTAGTACACTAGCTCTGCATCATCTCTAGCCATCTCAGCTGGGGCGGAGCATCGAGAAAAGCAGATACAGGCAGGGCCTGAACAGGGACCGAGCAGAAAGCAGCGAAAGGTTAAGGAAACGATAGATGCCGAGGCATTTTACCAGACGCTACGGCGTAAGTGGCAAAGGAGCACTCCTGAGTTCTGGCACGATTCAATCCTGCATGTAGGCCAGTGATCCCAGGGAATCTGCTTCCCCTTCACAGCAGAGAGCAGTTTGGGAAGCTGGTGTTTTGGAGGGTGGGCTGGTACAGCGCGCATAACTGGGCATGAAGAATGTGCATGACAGTTGAGGTGAAGCAGCTATGGACCAGGGAAGGTCCTCTGATGTGTGGCAGTCACAGGGCTGAGCCACGTGACCCTTGTTGCTGGTTTCTACACAGAATGGGTTTGAGTAGTGAAATGCAGTATCTCCGTGTTACCTAATGTGTAGTCTCTTCATTACGAGTGAGACGCTGGTCTCCCAAGTCTGATCATTGATGGGGTAGGGAGACAGGTGTTAAAGGTTTTGGTTCCATCCAGGCTCAGGTGTGGAAAATCGATATCTTCTGAGGATCGAGGGTCTCCTGTTTTCTAAAAATATACATATATATCTTTGGGGGTTTTTTAAAAAAAGAAACTCTTGTGGCCCTAGTGGTTGTGATGATGTCCAAGGGCACAGTTGTACTGTGGAGTGTGCAGAGAAACCAATTAAATAATAGCACTAAGAGACGTGACAACTTTTTCCATCTTAACAGGCGTTAGCTGTGAAATCTAATCGTCTCCATGTCTCTGCTAATCTTATAAGAAGCAGCTAGCCAACGAGCCTTATCTAGTGTGACTGGTGCTCTTCGCCCCCTGCATGTGTCTAAAAGGATGTTTTGTGGGCTCCAAGGTTTGAATATGCAAAAACAATATTCAGATACCAACTACTCTTCTGATGAGTCAGCCCATGGAAAGGCTCGCTACTGTCCTTATTTTTGTAAAAAGGTGTGTGGGGGGGGGGGGGTGCGTGTGTGAAAATGACATTTCACCTGGAGACAGTGTTAAAGGGGCTGGATTCCTGCAGCACGGGTTTTCTATGGGCTTGATCTGGCAGCAACAGCAGCAGCAACAGGCCACTTAAATAAGCTAATAAATATTTTTGAAAGTGCTGCTGGTTTATTGCATCTCCTTGTCTGTGTCTGATTGTTAACACGAGTATTAAAGCACAAAAGTAGCTCCAAGAACGAACAGAACCCTCTTGCCTTTCTCCCCAGGCCGTCCATACACACACTTGAGGCAAGATACTGCCAATCCTTCCAAAATGTTGGCCAGACACAGGTTCAGGTTATATTTAGGAAGTTATTTTCCTTGTGCTGCGGTGGTAGGAAACAGGCTAGGGTGCTTCCCTTCACACGATCATAATGTGGTGTGTTAGCAAAGCAAAGTGAATGTCACTGCAGGCTTGGCTTGGTTGGAAAGAAATGTTCTTTTGTGTGCTGCCCTTCGGAAAGAGTTAATAGTGGCAAAGCTTTAGATCTGGGATTGGCATCCCCCGATGCTTTCTTCACTGCTCCTTTTTCCTAGGCCAGCCTGGAATTCCATACGTCGGTGCTAATAAAGCCCTAAGGATGGATGAGGCATGTTGTCGTTCATGTCTTTACGTAGCATTTTTAAAGGTTCTAGGGCTTTTAATAAAGAACTAGAATGTAAATGATAGGAAGAGAGCAGTGGAGAGGGCGTGAACCAGCAAACAGAACTGGGCTTTCCAGAAATGTGCATTGTAGCATTGACATCACCTCATTTTATGAATGGAAAGCAGCTAACTCGAAGACTTTTGAGTAGTTCTGTGCTTGGCTTTCTTTGCGGCTGATGCTCTGAACTCCATCAAGTGCTACCCTGACTGTCTACTTCAGAAGACTTTTCACTTTCCTTCTCTCTCTTCCCCACTGAGGCTACGGAGTGCTGCTGAGCCTGGCTTTAGTAATGCATGGAATTGGGACGCTCTTATGGGAAAGCCATTGTGCCCTTAGAGAGGTGGGGGCTTGGTAGGGATAGCTCAGTGGTTTGAGCACTGGCCTGCTAAACCCAGGGTTGTGAGTTCAATCCTTGCAGAGGCCATTTAGGGATTTGGGGCAAAAATTGTCAGGGATGGTACTTAGTCCTGCTGTGAAGGCAGGGGACTGGACTCAATGACCTTCAAGGTCCCTTCTAGTTCTAGGAGATAGGCAATCTCCATTAATTTGGTGGAAATGGGGAAGAAACTACAGAGGGCTGGTAGTGGGCAGGGTAGGAAGTAGAAGAGTGCAGCTTGTTATGAAGCTGCAATACAAAAGATTTGAGCCCTTGCTGACTTACCTCTAGTTACTGAAGGGCCCTGCTCTGTCCGGTGGGTGGGGAATATAATAGGGACAAGCAGCAGAAGGGCATAGCAGGTGACAGTAGATTCTCTAACCCTGCAACATCATAGGTCCGTCCCCCTTCCTATAGCAAACCCTTCTCTCCCGAGAAAACCCCCAAAAGGCAGCTTTTGATCCTCACTGAGGCAACTGTCTTTGTCTCTTTGTTAGCAACAGGGACGTGGTTTGGCAATCACAGCTCTTGTTTTACTGAATTCAGGCTCTATTGAAGCAGCAGCTTTGGGGTCCCCAAATCTGTTTGCAGACAAGGGTGACTCCAGAGCATCACCAGAAAACAGCTACTAGCAACCTCAGCCTCCTATCCCAGGAAAGAGACCATGCAGCTATTTACTCTGTTGGGGACCTTTTGTGCATTTTGTGCTCTTTAGCCAACAGTATCTTGTCAGATGAGAGAATCCTGGGAAGCACATAGATCCCTTGTGCGCCCCGCACGTATGGTATTACACCGCCTGCATCTTTGACAGCAAGCAGCATGGTGCTATCAGGCGCCCCTCCACGGCCCATGATGTGGAGGGACGGGATGGCCAAACAGGCCCACTTGGGGAAGAGACGTAAGAGTGTAACCATTTAGAGGGTTAACTGATAGACATCAGCTTCTCGGTTTCCATTACAGATACCTGCTGGCTCCCAGCTCTGGTCCTGAAGAGCCGGACACACTGCGGGCTCTGCAGTAGACCTCCGGGAGCAAGAGCTGGTGTGTGTCAGGAGCCGGCTTATACTGTACTATGCATACTACTAGGATGCTTTTACTATAAGCCTGGGCTTATTAGTTAATCCTAACAACTACATGCACCACCACCCCTTGCTGCTTCTGTATCAGAGGCAGCAAGCGGGGGGTTGCAGGAGCTGGTGCCAGTGGGGAGCTGCTTTTAAGCTGGCTGCCCACGACTGCTGCCCACGACTGCTGGATCCCACAGAGATGCCTGTCCCTCCGCCTCTGCACTGCTGCCTCTGATAGGCAGCAGCGCGGAGGGTGAGGGGGGCAGGCAGGAGCTGGTACACGCGTGAAGCCAGCTCCTGGCACACACCAGCTCTAGTCTTCCAGCCCTGTTCCTGGGGAGCCTGCAACGTGTGTAATCACTAAGGATTTTTATCAGTTATTTTTTTAACCGATTTTTTTACATCCCTAGCGTGGGGAGCTAGTCCTCTATCCCCATTGGAGACAGGAATAAAAGCAGTTGCATGGTTGGATTCTCCCGGCTTCTCCTCAGTTGGGTAAAACACCTCTCACCAGGCAGGGAAGGGAGAGATCATATTCAAGAGCCGAGCCACTGAACAATCTTAATGTGACAACTGGGCATGATTATGGTTCTGACCTTTAGCTGTGAGTGCCCACTCAGTAAAACGGTTGCTTGGCGTGATGGATATTAGGGTTTGAAATCACTGACTTGGAAATATCTCGGGGAGTGTTCTTGTGAGCTGCTAAGTTAGGCTGTTAAATGGGGATGTTATGCATGCATGTTGGCTCGCTACGCAAACATTGCAACAGAAAGCCAGGGTGTTGCATAGGACCTGTGTACAGTGTCTGCAATCTCTGTGAGTCAACAGCATGCGTCAAGAGCATAAGAAATACACAGAAGCTGTCCAGCATTAAAGCTGATTCAGCCAAATTTCCTTCCGTATCTGTTCCCCTTTCTCAGGTTGTTAGGAGCTCTGAAGTGTTTGGTGACAGTCCCTGGCAACTACAGGAAACCTCATCAGGATTCATTTGTTGCAGAGGGTTTTATAATGTTTTCCCACAGGTATGAGATACCCAAGGCCGTGAAGTGTTGTGAGAGAGGAATTTTTGTTAATGATCGTCAGGGGACTTGCTGGTTTCCTCATATATTTTGATAGCACCACTGTAACCCGAAAGCACACACAGAGATGAACATTTAACAGAGCACTTACATTTCAGACCAGTAGGTGTGGCTAGAGAGAAGCATAGCGTGATGCTTGCGGGAGCACAGTAGCCAAACAGAAATAAAAGATTGGGAGGAGTCTTCTCCCCAGTATATATATGCATGACTTCCATTAACATTTTGTTATTGTGTGTGTGTGTGTGTGTGCACATCTGGGCCATAGCAGGCTGCATAGACAAGATCTTGTGCCTGCATTTACACAGCAAAGTGATAGAAAATTCGATTTAGGCACCACCGGCTGAAATCCAGTGGTCTTTAAACAGTATGTGCCCAATACCTAAAAGGATTCTCTTGGCTTGATGGATGTAAATCATCAGCTTTCTCATTTCAGGACATACTCTTTTTTTTTTCAGCGTAAAGGGTCAAATATATCCTGGTGTCTTGAGGGAATCGCAGCCCTTCGATTTTCTTTGCTACAATAGATTCTGTTTATTAACTAAACCTCAGTTTCCAGCACAAAGTTGCTATTTTCTGGTAGTTGCTAATGAGCAAAAGGCGGGTTTGGGAGGCTACCCTGAAGGAAGGAAGCTCTGGGACCTACCGAGTGCAGGCTCCAGGCAAATGAGGGAGGCAGCAGCTGTGGAAGGAAAGTGATGGGACCAGCTGCAGGGAGGTTTGTGAGGCTGCAGCCAGGGAAAGCGGGTCCGAGCATGACCTCCTCGAGTTGCAGCCTTGCAGACTGCCTAGGATGGAGCCTGTCTTCCAAAAGCAGGTTGCTAATAAGCAGCATGCTGGTACCTGTATCCAAATCCCGTGAACACTAAAGTCAGTGAGAGGGGATTGCTTCCTAGCAAAGTGGTGCTATTAACTAGAAGCTGTTCATCTCCTGGCTGGGATCTTCCTTGAACATCTCTTCCTTGAACGTAAGAACGGCCATACGGGTTCAGGCCCGTGGTCCCTCTAGCCCAGTAACTGGTCTTCCAGCAACGGCCAGTGCCAGATGTTTCCGAGGGAACTACCAGTTTATCAAGTGATCTATCCCCTGTCCTGTCTCAGCTTCTGCCTGTCAGAGGCTCAGGGACACGCAGCGCCTGCGGCTGCTTCCTGGACTATCTTTGACCAAACTGGCTAATAGCCATTGATAGACCTGACCTCCAGTAACTTGTGTATTTTTTTTTAACCCAGTTACACTTTTGGCCTTCACAACACCTCGCAGCAGTGAGTTCCACCAGTTCATTGTGCCTTGTGGAAAGAAATATTTCCTTTTGTTTTAAACCTGCTGCCTATTCATTTCATTGGGTCACCCCTGCTTCTTGTGTTCTGGGAAGGGGTAATAGCACTTCCTTATGCACTTTCTCCACACCAGTCATGATTTTATAGACCTCTATCATATCCTCTCTCCTCCCTCTCTCTCCCTCAGTCATCTCTTTTCCAAGCTGAACATTCCCTCTCTCTACTCTTGCCTCACCTGGAAGCCGTTCCATACCTCTAATCATTTGTGTAGCCTTTTCTGCACCTTACGAGCACAACGGCCGCACAATGTGCACGTTGCTGGGGTTGTTAGTGTCCTCCTGCTGGACTTGGGTGTGTATCTGTTACCAGCACAGAGCAAAGTCAGGCTGTTTTAAGTGTTCTCACTCCACCTTCAGCCCCTGGCCTGTTACTATTCTGTAGCTCACGTGGAGGAGGAGGAGGAAGGGCTGATGCAAACCACCCAGCCCTGTGCAAGTGAGTCAAAGCAGGCATGTGACGATGAGATGGGACCAGCGCAATCTGGCTTCACTCTTCCTCCCACCCACTCCCTCGAAGCTCCCTCCATTCTCACAGGGCCCAGTCCTGCTGCCAGGGATGTGAATACAAAAGACTCCGGTTACATTTTTATACTGCAGTTCGTAGGGATGTGAGTGTATAATCGTGTAAACAATTAACCAATAAGCCTGGGCTGATTGGTTAATCCTAACAATTACATGCACAAACACCTCCTCCCCCTCCCCCCAGCTGCCTCTGTATTAGAGGTGCGGGGGGGAGGGAGCTGATGCCTGGGGGGAGCTGGCTTTTAAGCCGGCTTCCCACGACCTCCAGATCCCACACAGATGCCTGTTCCCCGCAGCTCTGCACTGCTGCCTCTGATAGGCAGCACCACAGAGGATGCGGAGGGCGGGCAGGAGCTGGTACACGTGTGAAGCCAGCTTTCAAGCCAGATCCCTGTGTGTATCGGCTCATGCAGAGCCACCTGCCCCCACGCTGCTGTCTCTCCAGGCAGCAGTACAGAGGTGAGGGGGCAGGAGGAAGCCAATACGCATGGGGAGCCAGTTCCCTATGAGCACCTGGCTTCACGGAGCCGCCTTGCTCCCCATACTGCTGCTTCTATATCCGGCAGCAGGGAGGGCAGGCAGGGTGCTGGTGCAGGCCCTGTCCACAGGTAGCTCGGGTCCCCTGTGGACAGGGGTGGGTCCCCTGGAGCAGCTCCCATCTCTCCGCACTGCTTCCTCTGATACAGAGGCAGCAGCACAGCGTGGCAGAGGGCTGGCTGGGAGCGCACTGGCTGCTGGCCCCACTCCCCGGGGACTATCGAAGAATCCTGGAACTGCTCAGCTTTGGGGCAACTACTCAATTATTACATGACACACTGTCTAGCGTCCCTAGTAGTTAGACATCTGCAGCTGGCCTGGGGCCACCTGGCTCAGGCTTATAGGGCTCAGGCTAAGAAGCTGTGTAATAACTGTGGGTGTCGATGTTCTAGCTTTGGGACCCTCTCCCCTTGCAGGTTCCACCATGATCCCAAATGTCCACCCTC